TATTATGGACAAAATCGTAGCAAAAATCGCTAGTGTAAAGGCATTTTGCCTATGTTTTGCGGTGTTTATGTTGATACCGCGGGCGCACACTCCAGTGGACTGCACGTGGACGTACGAGAACAACATGGTGGACAGTGCAGAATTGAGTGTAGATTCACTCAAAACAGCCATAGGAGGCAAGAAAATAAGTCGTTGAAACAACAGTTGTGAGAAAAGTCTAACCTATACAAATATACATCTAATATATTCATGTCTTTAACCACTGTGCAGATATTTTGAAAAGTTCAGAGCTGTCTTCGTTGACTTCTCGAATTGTCAGGAATAATCTCGAAGAGCGCTTTAATATCAGCCTTAAAGACAGGTATTTTAGTTCATAGACTGGTTTAAGAGATTCTTTCGATAATGCTACTTAAAATGCTATCTGTAAGGTGCCGTTCTGGCTGGTTTTGGGGCAGAAAAAGCTGAAATGAGAATGTCGTTGTTTTGTTGATGAAACAGGAAGAAGGAGATTGATGAACTGTTAATGTCTATGATAGAAGAAAACCAAGACCAAAAGAACGAAGATGGTGATGTACCTACTAATGGCGCTGTAGATTCTGAACAAGAATCTCAAAGCGAAGATGAGGTGATAAAAAAAAAATGTATATTTGTTGGAAAAAAGAACAACACATTTTTACAAATTTCAAGCTTTCATTCCTATTCTCGAAATATTTTTTGAAAAACTTTACCAGGCCTCAGAACGAAGCTTAGAGTTTATAATAATTATATTCTCAATTTGATTCCTGTTGATAAGTATTTGTATTTCTTAGTTATGATATTTCAGGATTGGTTAAGTTTAAATTTATTTACTCTCCCCTCCCCTCCACAGTAATATTTGTGCGACTCTCTAAATTTAGGTTGCTATGAATAGACCCTTGCAGTGCATCCGAATACCTCCTCTTCAGAGAGAAATCAGAATTTCTAAGGAGCAGATATCTGTATAACAAGGGAATTGTAACTTCAAATAGCTGGAGAGGGTGTTAAAAGGCAACACTCTTAAGTATGACCATATTTAATGTATTCGAAAAGGTTCTGCACTGYCAAACGAGCTTTTACATGCATTATTTAGTAAAACCAGCTAACTTCACATCTAAATTGTTGCTACTGTATAAACATGGTCATACTTTTGCATGTGTTGTGCTATAACAGTGCTAATTGGTGCAAAATCTCAGAACAGGCTCAATGGGAAATAGACTGCTGTCAATCAAGCAAGTTGTGAGAGTATCAATGTACATTGAAAGTTTGTCTGTTGCCCTTTGAGCTTGTTGTGAGAGTTTGTCTTGACCGTCGCATAGCAATGAAAACAGTGGTCAATCTGATAACAATATTTAAATTGATATTCCCAGGACGAGGAACCAGCCACTAAAAAAGCCAAGAAAGAAAAAAAATCTTCAGTATCAAAATCTGGAGCAACAAATAAACAAATGAGCAAGAAAACAGAATCAAGAGAGAACAAGGTAGAGTAAATCGTAAACACTTAATTAAAAGTAAAAAAAGTACCATGTATTTGTAGGCTAAAAATATTGGCATCAAATAATGTTTGGCCAGAATTGGAACTTGCCCAGTCAAATCTTTGCTTTGCCGGTCATTTTGACCAGTAATATTGAGCCAGAAAAGAGGTATGACTGAGCTAAAACTAATTTGGCAGCTTATCATGACTAGTGTCTGACCAACCATTATTTTATCTATAGATTTTATCTATGGATGTCATGTTTGCAGACATTGTTATTGTGGCGAAACAAGTTAAAAGTTATATTTGCACTCTAAATAAATAAAAAAATAACTCAGTGGTGATAACTAGTAGAGTACTAGTGTGGACTGCGTCAGTGTTTCTRAATAAAACAGTAGGAACTTGTAGATAATTTTGGATCACCATAAAAGGCTTTGTGAAACTGACGTTTTGGACGTTAGTCCTTCGTCAGAGTACTCCGACAAAGGACTAATGTCCAAAACGTCAGTTTCACAAAGCCTTTTACGGTGATCCAAAATTATCTACAAGTTCCTACTGTTAATAAAATAAATCCTTTCATTTAAGTATCTAGTTGTTCTAGTGCTTTGCGCTAATTGGAGGCACTTTTCACTCACACTCACTACCACATCATTCAATATTCTTTGCACACAACGCTCAACTCACATGTTGATTTTTACGGAGGGAGGAAACCAGAGAACCCGGAGAAAACCCTTGTAGCATAGGAGAGAACAACACATCAAACAAACTCAATTCGCATGTGGAGACTGAAGGGCTCGAACCAGCGACCCAACCTGTTAGACTCACAGCAGTGAAAGACAACAAGTTAGCTGCATATGCCACTCATGCTACCCTATTCTTGTACTTATCCCTTATTTATGATGAAAATTTTATTTTTTTGTACAGTTTGGTTGGATTTTAAAATAAAAGCGACTAGGGATGTACAGTTTTATGAACACAGTGACATCATGGCTGTTTCAAATAAATATGTTTGAGATGCTTTTGAACTTTACTGATCGAAATAAATTTATGTCCATCGCAAAGTGCTACACCATGAGAAATATTTGTCACAGGATATAAATTTATGTCAAAATGAAAAAGTGCAGTTATGACTTTTAACCTGTTTGTTGATGTGCTAAACATTTTAACAATAGATTATGTCAATCTCCAATAGCTTTCCGGTTGAAATTTGAATAAAAACCAACCAAAACAAATTTGGTCATCATATCCCCACGTATTTTCAGGATGACGATGATGCTGAAGTTGCTAGAAAGTTACATGAAAGTGAAAGAGGTCTAAGAACAAGAAAACAGCCTGCCAAGAGAACACAGGTAAACCATCTTCACAAGTACCCTACATTTCATATTCCGGCTGCGTTACCAGCGTGGTTGGTCCTTGTGGTGTAGTGGTTAACACATCGGACTGGAATACCGAAGATGTGAATTCAATTCCTGCCAAGGGCATTTGATATTTTTCTCTTATTCTCTCTATTTCATTACACACACCGAACACATAATTTATTACTACTATACTACATCTTCTCTCTTTATATATTTACTGTCAATGTCATTCTGGCCTGGGGGAGGGGAGGGGTTATGAAGATGCTTTCAACATTTTGTCAGTAAAAAAGCTTCAGAGAGGGGGGGGGGGGGGTTACTCTATTCTGGGTTTCTGCATTAGCAGAATTGAGCAAAATTCTTTTTCATTTGTAGAAAAACTCGACAAAGAAAGAACCAAAGCCAAAGGGAGAAAAAAGTCGCACTGGTAAGACCAGGGAGAAAGAAACAATAAACATACAAGGGAGAAAAAACTGTTGAGATAAAGCATTGCCAACAGGGATTTAGCCTCCCCACCCTTATGAGAAAGAATCCATGGGCAAATCTCAGGGGCAGATCCAGAATTCTGAGAAAAGGCTGGCCCGTAAAAATTTGGCGTTGAACAAATCTCACCAATGACTATGCAAAGAAACCATAGAAAGGTCTAGGGGCATGCTCACAAGGGATTCTCAAAATATGGTTTCCAGAAATAGTATTTCTTGCATCTTAGGAGTATTTTGGACGACAAAAGAGGTAGGGGTAAACGCATCTCTGACTAAAAAGAGAGAGTGCCGCAGTATCATAAGCCCCCTTTAAATCTGCCTCTGGTTCTATCCACATGGGCCCAGTTGTATGAAGGGCGGATAGCGCTATCCAGTGGATAAGTTGATGCTGTTATCCAATAAATTTATCCACCTGATAAGATTTATCCTTCGGATAGCCCGGTTGTACAGAGGGCGGATAGCGCTATCTATTAAATGGATAAATCCTTATCCAGTGGATAAGTCGATGCTGTTATCCAATAAATTTATCCACTGGATAAGATTTTCCATTGGATAGCGCTATCCACCCTTCGTACAATGAAGCTCAAAAAATAACACTAATTCCATCATTATTAATTCATGACCTCTAGGCTTTGGAAAACCGATGATTTTGTCACCAGAACTTGCTGAAATCATGGAAGCCGATCAGGTAAGAAGCTCTCAGAAGATTCTTCACTATAATATCAATATTATAATAGCGCAGCGCACTGATTCTAAAAATAGCTTAAAGATTCAGACAAACATTGCATTCTGTTTAACCGCTACGAGGATTATACGAACTGATTTTATTATTTTTACTTAAAGTTACAATAATAACCCATGTAAACTAAGATCAACTGCAATCAGCTGTGAAAATTATCTGCTGAAAGTAAACTTGTAAGTTTGTTTGTCCGAATTTCGCCTTTGTCTTCATTTTTATGATGTCACGACTGCGCTGCGCTATTGATAATATTTATTCATTTTGTTTTAATACATCTTGTTTTATTTGTTTCTGTTGTAGCTGTCGAGATCAGAAGTTGTCAAAAAGATGTGGCAGATAATCAGGGAGAGAAATTTGACAGTAGGTTTTTTTATTGATATATTAAATGCATTGATCTTTTGTTCTTTGAGATATGCATGCTCTGAATTGTAGTTAAATGCTTGAAAAACCGTGTTTGTCAGAAAACGCAAAACACTCAACTCAAACGTTTCGTTTATCTTATAAAAGCAATATGAAATGTCCACTTTTGTCTTCATACTGCAATTCAAACACTCTAGGACCTTAAGAGCACTTGAGAAGTTAAAGCATCATTTGGCTATGCTCCTTGTTTCTTTATGACTCTAGATACAGCTCCCAGAGTGTATAATGAGAGTATAATGGAACACTTTTTGTCATACTTCATTCAGTAATACAGTACTTAGATATTTTCAAAAGATATATCGTACGCATATGTAGATGACCGAACTCCAATCTTACGAAAAAATTACTTTTCATCAAACCAACCAAAAAATATGTCAGAGATTCATGGATAAACATCGAAAAACTACTAAACATTGATAAAGATCAGGCCAGAAGATTAAAAAAAGACAGAAAAGCCTTCAAAGGACTTCTTTTTAAGAACTTTAATCTAGAATAGAATAGAGTCCCCATTGTTCAGTTAATAACTGTTAATAATGGAACAGAACTGATACTGATACTGATGTACTTATTTTAGGAAGTGTCAAAAAGTGTCAAAAACACTCAAGAAGCACTCACTGTTATTGATTCTAACTTTGTGCACCTTCAAAATCTATAGGACCCAAAGGATAAAAGATATCATATTTGTGACCCTCAACTCTTGAAAGTATTTGGTAAGTTTTACAAAATGTATAATGTTTGTCGTGTCATTTTTGGTGTTATTATACCTCTGTGCTTTTAAGGATATTTGACAAATAAATCTTATCCAGCGGCTATCCTAACCCATGAGACAAGAGGGCACTACTGTACCACTATCCATCCCTTGAATCCCTATTTTTCCATGTTAAATTATTATTCTTTATGATTAAATCCAGGGACAAAGAGGGTCAGAACCTTCTCCATGATGAAGTACCTAAAACAACACATAAAGGACCCCGCCCTTATTAGTTAGACACATTGCCATGGCAACAGATATGTTTGGCAACATTCTGCATGTTGGGCTATAATGATTTTGCATTCACCACCAAATCATGGTTTCAACGTAGTGTCAGCTTCAAAAGTCGAACAAGAAGTAAAATAGGTATTGTATCTGATACATTAACATTCCCTACTCTTGGGGAAAGAAATTCTCAAGCATTTGTCTTTAGGTTGGAAGCATTTTTAATTCATAATCGAGAAGTATTTAAATGGTTTAGTAAAATAGTTCATGTTATTATATTTTTGGTTTCTTACTTTCTTTTGGACGAAAGTGATTTCTTTGTACTTTACAGTATGTGCATTTATAATAATTCATACTAGGATATTAGTAAATTATTATTATTTTCTTTGGAAAGGGTTAAACTCTTATAAGCATCTATGATTTATACTGGGAAGTTATAATGGATAGGGTGTGGTCGAAAATGGAATGTCAAAGAGCATACCCACCCCTCCCCAAACCCCTTTTAGTATGGAGCGCATTGTAATGTCTCTCTGAGATTTAAGTGTCRCATCATTCCAACAGACTATTTTCTAACCTTCTTTACTTTAAATAAAGATTTTGTGATCTAATGATCTATGCATGTAATCCTAAATGGGGCGTCTATTTCCTATTTTGACGTCACCACGCGGTTGGCATATGACGTCATGTCTACAAAGACAAGTTTTGATGTCGCTGTTATAACTTTGGTAATAGATGACATTTCTTCAAACCTATTGATGGGTTGCAAGCATTCCCAAGAAAGTCGAAAGACAAAAGCATAACGGCCATTGTGGTACCGTTAACAATGGATGCTAATGAGAAATCTTTTGTTAAATGGCACCAACGCTCCCCCGAGAGGCCGCGATGACGTAACGTGCAATCGAAGAATATCGATCGCAAGAACGTCTAAAAGGGGCGTCCATTTCCTATTTTGACTTCACCACCAGGTTGGTATATGACGTCATTTCTACAAAGACAACAATGAAAGTCGCTGTTATAACTTCGTTATTAGATGATTTTTCTTCAAACCAATGTCGATTGTGTGAACTTCTAAAAAGGGCGTCTATTTCCTATTGTGACGTTACCACGAGGTTGGTGTATTACGTCATGCTCACAGACTGTGATATTACCCTTCAGTGCTCCTAGAATATTGTATATTCAACCCCTTCCCTTTCGTAAACATCGTTCAGGGACGTTCTGTGTGACGTCATTCTCGAGAGGTCCTTGGGGCTCTTACAAATAGTCACTTATTCATGTTGATGTTGATGTTTTCGAGGCGATAAGAACCGATATATGTTAGCAGGTTTACGGCAAAAAGCACCAATTAATGAAAGGCACGGGGAAAAGTGCCCTTGAGAGCTTTTTATGAAAGATAAAAACACTTATCACTGTTTGTATGCTATTCTATGGCACAGGTTATCTAAACCATTTAAAGACTCGATAATGAGAAATGTGTCTAAGTGGGCGTAGTGGAACAACTGAATTAAGTGAATAAGAATAAAAGAATGAATACATGAATGAATACACGATGCAGAGAAGGAAGTTGAAAGTAAATGAATGAATGAACCGGGAAAGGATATTCGTATTGTTTGAGTGAGTGAGTGGAGCAGAGAAGAAACCTTGTAGTGTGAATGAATAAATGAATGGAGCAGAAAAAGACATTTGCATTGTGTGAAGAAATGAATGTGTGAGTGATTGAGTGAAGCGGAGGAGTGTATTCAGAACAAATATAGGGATGAACGATTTCAAATGAATAATTAACGAAAACAACTTCATAAATAAACGAAGAAAAGTAATAGTTCACAGAGGATAAATTTATAAATAAAATGAATTGCATGCATTGAAAAGCGCCGTTTATTTCTTTTAAGTAAAAGTTACTGAAAACTTGATCCGGACTTCGAAAAAAGCCGGGGCAATCCATTAATATTAGATATTTCTTGTACAAAAAGTTGCTCTTGCGTTTCAGTTGCTAGACTTTTGTATATGCTGGGCTTTGAAGATTCGTTTTCAATAATGAATATTCGAATCGAATAATGAAATCAAGAAACCAAAAATAAAGTCATTAATGATCTCTACGTGTTTACGCTTGAGATTGTTTGACTGCAATTAGAGAGTTTTAGATTTACGCTCACGGCAAACGTGAAACGTCAGTTGACCAGTAAAAAATTCTTTTAAATTACTGAAAAAGAATCGCAAAAAAGTCCAAGTAGTAGAAAACAAAAGAGTATTTGCGCTTGGTGAGAAGGTTTGTAAAAGGTAAAGTAAAATAAAGGAAAACTATGAAAACGTGGTCACGTTTGCCGTTTGCGGGCAGAAAAAAAAGTCAATCTAAAACTCTCTAATTACTACAAATGATCGCCGAACCCATTATTTTCCTAATGTTTTTAGTATTTACGAGTCTGAGTCTATTTAATAGATGTTAATTCACGTGACCAAACAAAAGCCAGTACAATATCATACCCCTTTGAAGTTTGCCGTCTTTCATAACCATTTCCCTCTATTAACTATGCTTTCAATAGCAGCATAAAATTAATTGAGAACGGACTTCATAAAACGAAAAAAACGGGGGAAATCTCGCGTTAGTAAAATAGAGTCAAGAAGCATATTAATTTGATTTGAACTACCACTCGATTTATTAGATTTTGTTTCACGCAAACGTTGAAAGACTTGCCAATTTCTAATTTTTATTTTGATCGGAAGTAAACACACAACTCTAAAAGCATGATTTTCATTGATTATTTTTCACGATCACTTCCGAAAAACTGTGCATGCGCCAAAGAATGAATTATGCCGCAGGCCAGAAAAAACGCAGGCTCGGTACGAGGTTGACAACAGGGCTGAATGTCAGCTGCACATGCGCCAAATTTTTGCACTGGCATTATATGTCGCTAACTTTGACTTTCGCAACTCCTTCGTCTCCGTATTATTTCACGCGCGCTGAAGAAAGCACAGGCAGCCCAACCAGGACCAGACGCGTGACTTCAACGCTCGCTTTTTTTCACTTATTCGGCTTGAAGCAAGTGTAGCTTTTTCTGAGGCGCGAGGTGGCGAAGCTTGCTGATCTCGTCCAAAAATTCAGCCCCATAACCCCCTGTACCACGTTTGCATGAGAATTTATAAACAATGGGATAACTATTGTGAAAAGTTCATTGTTTTATTTTTATTTTATCGACAATAAATGCCTGAYTTTCTTTCCTTTTATTGTGTGGATTGAGAAGCGTTTTTTTTTTCAAGAACACTAAAGTGATTTTACTTGGCCTGTAAAACAATGTTTACGTTTACTATTCTTTCACGGGCCAAGGCCAAATCACTCTACTTCACATTGTACGTTGCGACTTGAGTCGATGTCAAAATGTTGAGTTTTATGAACAAAAATGCTTTTCTTTCGTCGAGAAAATCAAACTTCGCTAAGCGTCTTTCTCGTCTCGAAGGTGCCCTCAATTCTGTTGGTCAGTGGAAAGCAACGATAGATGCTGACCAGAAGGAACGTAGGCTCAGAGTCCGTCAGCTTCGTGTAACGAAAACGTTTGTGAAACTTTTGCTGTATTTAACAGGGTGAATATTCTGTACTCTATTAGCTCTCAGTTTTATTCTCGCAACCGCGTAAATCTAGATCTTCCAGTGCATTATTCTGGCCATTTTTCCACACAATTTGCGTCTCTTTTTTGCCAATAATTTTTGTCTTGTATTCTTGAATACAGTTATCGTCTATCCCACAACACGAAGTTCGTCTCTCACATTCATGGTGTTCTTTACTGTCGCTCTCTAGTGGACAGTTACACATACTGCTAGTTCGTTTGCATTTATTGCACGCGTTTTTATGTCCGTTGGCTCCAAGGTTACAAAATTTTTTGTGTGTCATGGGCTTATCTTCGCGCCATTCACAGAGTATTTTGAGGAACGCTCTTTTGAAGTCTCTATTTCTATAAGTATAGATGATAGGATTCACCATTGAGCCGCTGTAATGCATCCATTTAACCAGCGGTATCACGATTTTATACGGGACCTTGCATTTCTTACAGTACATTGAGACAAGCATTATAATGAAGAACGGTAACCAGGCAATGATGAAGGCGCTGATGACCACGCCAAGCGTCACCGCGATTCGAATTTCTCGCCTTAGAGAACGGGAACGCCTCGCCCGAGCTCTCCGGTCCGCAATACGATATATAATCACATAGTTGACAAGAATGATAAAAAGCGGCAAGAAAAAGCTGGAAAAACTGACGAACAGAGGATACCAAGTTCCACTGGAGTTTTTAATGTGTGTAAGGCTACCAACAATGAGGGCGTATAACCATGCGACCGCGATACTGACCATAATGGTGGTATCCGAGAGGTTACGATGAATGGCGGGCTGTGTGACAGACAGACACCTTTCTAGACTGATGGTTACTAGGTTGATGATGGATGCTGTGCCACACATGATGTCGTATGTGATGTACATCTGATATATAACGCCSGTCTGGGAAGGGGTCTCTGGAAATCAAAAATAGAAGAAAATGAAGTTAGGAGAAAAGATAATTAGGATTCGTACCTGGAACATGCATGCATCCCCCTACCCTACCTTTGTGAGGACCCTACCCCTATAAAGAAGTCTCAACTCTACTTCATCGGAATTCATAGACGTATTACTTTACGTAGTTTTCAGGTTAAGTTTCAAAATACCATAATCTTGAGTACCGCGATTTCATCAACAAAAGGTCACTACCCTAGCACTTGTAAAATGTCAAGTTTGTCTTTGTGGTTTGTGGGGTTTTACAAGTTTGGACATAAGATTTCCAGACTACAATTAAAATAGCTTAAATATTTACGCAAACCAGCATTAATGCATAAGTAGATGAAATGTTTTTGTTTTGAGAGTCAAGGATTATTATTATTATCATCATCATCATCATTATCATAATTATTATCATCATTATCATTAAGATAATCTACATTTGACCATACGCGTTTCGCTCAGATCCGGCTCTTCGTTTTCTACACTCAGTAACCACTAACTATGTGACGCAAAATCCCTTAAGATATAAATAACAATGAAACAACCGCCATGTTGGTCGATCTAACAAGAGAAGCTAGAGGGATCATATTTAAACCTTTTAAAAAAGTGACTACTTAGTTGTTGAATTTTGGCAGCTATGACGTAAATTACACATGCTCTGTTTTTCGAAACTAGCGCTAAAAAACCAAATCGACCTGAAAGCGAGTGTAGTTTATCTACGTTAACAGTTCGTTTATATCTTTCGCTAAGCGATTTCATGATCGTGCGCTTACGTCGATTAAGGCTCGTGTCTCGTTTGCGTGACCGTTCGCTCGACAAGATTCGATATCGTTTACAGAGGCTTATTTCATTCCCTGTGTGTCAGTGTGTGGACGTTGCTTTCGTTACTCGCGCTCCGTGATCGTACGATAAGGCCCTGGCTAAACGAGGAAACATATTTCCCTAAATGTTTCCTAAGGTGGCAAAACTGTCAGGAAACATCGGGAAACAATGTTTCCATGCGTCTTGGAAACATGAAATGCTTCTGCCGCACAGCAAAAACATTTTTTGCGTCTTGAAAGCAAAATTTGTTGCACGCAACAATGTTTCGCATGTGGCTAAACTGGGAAACATAGAGGAAACATGCGCGCGGTAAACATGTTTCCTCGTTTGGCCAGGGCCTAAGGCTCAGGTTAGACGTCGAACTTCACATCAAAGAAGACCGCCTTGTTAGCCATTGCTTTAATAAGTTTCGCGGCTCATGTGGAGTTCGAAGTTTGACAAGAGCCTGAGTTCCGTTCACTGGCTTTCCTTTCTTTTATTCCATTTTTTAAGTTTCATTTCTTTTTAATTCACCGCGCTCGCATTTTCGATCTTAATCTTATATTTTAATCATTGATCCTTCGCTATCGTTATCGAACTTATATCTCAACTCGCATCTCTCTCATTTTTACTTCTATTCGATTTTTTCTTTATCTTTTTAAAATAATAGTTAAATGTTTTAACTCCAAAGCCATAAGCCATTGCTCCTACACAAATCCTTTTACAACAAATCCAATTTTTAAGTAATACATACCGTATGTAAGAGGCGTTTGACTCATTAATTGTTTCTGTTGGTTTGAATTCCAACTACGAATGACTTCGTTTTTATCACAATATATGTTGATCAATACTCAGCAGGCGAAACGGACTGATTCATTTTAAGATCAATTATAAGGAAATTGTTTTGATTCTAATCATTTTTCTTCAACTTTTGAAAAACAGCCTTCACTAGTCTTTTTTTCATCAGTTTAGTATTGTTTTTGCTTTTTACTTAAATAATGCTTGTTGCAACAGTGGACTTTAGTAATTATATATCTTTAGTCTGTTAGTCCACTGCGTATTTTTTTCGTATTGGTAAAACGAAGTCAAATATAAGAAGACTCAATCCTGTCAACAAATCATACCACCTAACCTTGTTATTCAATTTTTTTTCTTCCTCGATAATGATTCTATACTGGACCGAGGGGAGATTGAGAGTGTAGCGCAGTCTTGCATTCTGATTTAAGGAGGTTGGAAAGTGTTTTGTGCCTTCACATACACTTACAATTATGAACTAAAAAAATTAATATGGCTATAATATGACAGCAAGTAAACCGAGAATGCCAAAGACTATAAACCAAAGATCACAATGAGCATGACAAAATGACGTCAGACGTTGCTATGACAACATCAGAACCCTTGGTATGCCATCAAAAATATTCATTTAATAAATCATAACTCAGGAACCAAATGGTAAAATTTTTTAAAAACCCGAATATTTAAAGTTTGTATCGTAATCTTCTTTTTGGCAAAAAAAGAAAAAAAATCTGTAATAGGAAATTCGTAAAAATTATTAAAATTTGTTTGGAATAGTTTCCTCTTATAGAATTTTTTAAGTTTTTCCTTAACTAGTTTTCGAAAACATAAACTAAAGCTCTATGCAAAATTCGAAGAAATTTGACCACAGAGTTTTTGATTTTTTTTTTCAGTTTGAATATTAAAAATTCATAAAGCGCACGCGCGCTCAAGAAAAACCGTATCGAGCCTCCTTACCTATCTCTTCTAAATAAGTACTAATTGATTAAAGTGTTGTTTAGAAATGATTTGATTCCGTATTTACGACCACCAAAATTGGGGGGAAATCAAATTTCACGCGAAAAACACCCCAAAAAAGGCCCACACAACACTACTTCCGTTGGAGAGTGTTTCGTATTTTAAATCGTTCTGTGTTATGCTGAATTACTGTAGTTCGGTGACTAGAGTCAAACCATGACGTGCGATAATCCGTGTCTTTCTTTTAGAGTCTCATTGGGAGTCTCATAGTCTGGAATAATTGTTCGGTTTTAAAACTATTACATTGATATCTAAAACATCTAGCAGCAGTTAGGCGGACTCGCGAAACGCCGACAAAGCCAAAAATCGAAAGTCGAAAAACATCAGGGGGGGTGGGTTTTTAGAGGTCGGTAACCCGCCCTACAGGGGGTCTTGCGCGATCGGCCGACACGCGAAATGTGCCTAACTGCTGCTCTGTTGGGGTCGCAAACAGAGGGAAAGATATCCTTTAGATATACGATGCATGAGTGTAAGAAGTTCGTTAACGACTTCTGTGTGATTTGTTTAACGCCTAAAGTTGTCATGCCGAAGCCAGAATCTTTTTGGTGTTGTGGTAAAAAAATGCAGATAGAGGAGGACACGTCAGCACAGTGTTACGAGTGTGGTAAGAATATTCG